TAAATGTGGGTAGGAGAGTTTGCTCGGTTCATCCCTCTGCGGCTGCATATCCTCTGTCTTATTAGCTACGTGAAGGACCCCTTCCCCCATGCTCTGAAAGACAGTCTGTCCCGTGCTGAGTAGGGAAGTCACTCTCAACTCCGGACCTACTCACACCATTAACAGAAAATGCTGGACCCATTCAATGGCTCCCTGCAGGTAGCTTACTGCTCTCACTCTTTCTTACCTTGAAACAGTGTATGAGATGTTAGAGGGAAACCTCTAACTATCCTCTAGAGCTGCTTTCAACAAGAAGACAAAAATTTACATACTGTAAAAATAATGAATATGTGGGTGGAACAGAAATAGTATTGGGAAAAGTACACCAGAGGTATAATTATAGCTCGCAATACAAATGGCCTTTAAAGGCATAGTTTTTATTTTATTTATTTATTTATTTAAAAATTGGGTTAAGGGGCTAGAGAGATGGCTCAACAGTTAAGGGTGCTGGTTTCTCTTCCAGAACATTCAGGTTGAATCCCCAATATCCCCATGGTGGTTCACAACTACATGTAAATCCAGTTTCAATGTATTGGATGTCTCACCTGGCCTCTGAGGGCACTAGACATGCGCAAAGAGAAATCACACATAAACACTAAAAAGTAATAATAATAAAAAACCCTGGGTATAGGGATGCATGCCTGTAATCTTAGCACTCAGGAGGCAGAAGCAGGTGGATCAGAAGTTCAAGATCATTTTCTGTTATAGCCAGGTGGTGGTGGCACATGCCTTTAGTTCCAGCCCTTGGGAGGCAGAGGCAGAAAGATTTTTGTGAAGCCAGTCTTGTCTACAGATTGAGTTCCAAGACAGCCAGGGCTACACAGAGAAACCCTATCTCAAAACAAACAAACAAACAAACAAACAAAAATACCTCTGTCATAAGAAGTAGGTGACTAAACTACGTGGTGATCACCTCATCACTACAATGTGGTAGGATATTTTAAGGTGTGATACTTTTATGCTGTGAAACATTTGTTTAGTGAGGTAAAGATGTATTGCTTTTTGTTTTGTTTTTTTGGTTTTTTTTTTTTTTTTTTTGAGACAGGGTTTCTCTGTGGCTTTTTGGAGCCTGTCCTGGAACTAGCTCTGTAGACCAGGCTGGTCTCAAACTCACAGAGATCCGCCTGCCTCTGCCTCCCGAGTGCTGGGATTAAAGGCGTGCGCCACCATCGCCCGGCCAAGATGTATTGCTTTTATTTATGCTGCATTTGTTTGACTCTGTGAACCTATGATTCTTTTTTTTTAAATATTTATTTACTTATTATGTATACAATATTCTGTCTACATGTATGCCTGCAGGCCAGAAGAGGGTACCAGACCTTATTATAGATGGTTGTGAGCCACCATGTGGTTGCCAGGAATTGAACTCAGGACCTTTGGAAGAGCAGGCAATGCTCTTAACCACTGAGCCATCTCTCCAGCCCGAACCTATGATTCTTTACCTGTCTAAAACACCTGATGGTCTAATAAATATAATAATGTCTAATAAAGAGCTGAACGGCCAGAAGCAAGACAGATGAAAGGCTAGGTGGGGCTGGCAGGCAGAGAGTAAATATAGAATGAGAACTCTGGAGGAATGGGAAGGAGAAACAACAGAGAAAGGAGGATGGCAGGGGCCAACCACCCAGTCACCCAGCCAGCCATGGAGAAAGAGGGAAAGAAAGACATACAGAAGAGAAGGAAAAAGCTCAGAGGCAAAATGTAGATGGGATAAGTTAAGAAAAGCTGGTAAGAAACAAGCCAAGCTAAGGCCAGGCATTTATAAGTAATAGTTAAGCCTCTGTGTGTGATTTGGGAACTGGGTGGTGGGTCCCCCCCAAGGAGAAAAAAAAAGCCAAAAAACCAAAGACCTGGAGTAAAAAAAAAAAGTAAAACAATCAACATCAGAACTATGTCTCAATTTATTTATTTTTAAATTTTTACTTTGTATATATAGGTTTGTCTGTGTGTATTCAGCTTCTCTTGGAAACTGAAAGAAGGATTTAGGTCTGTGGAAGAAGAGGCTATAGTTGAGATACCCAGTGTGGGTACCACGAACCCAACTCATGTTATATTCAAGAGTATCAAGCCTTCTCTCCAAGCCCCAAAATATTAAATACTCACGTGAAGACTGCCATATCATGGCAAAGATATAGACAGTGTGATAAGGAATTTTGTTGTTATTGTTTTTTGAGACAGGGTTTCTTTGTGTAGCCTTGGCTATCCTGTAACTCATTCTGCAGACCAGGCTGGCCTCGAACTCACAGAGATCCACTTGTCTCTGCCTCCCAAGTGCTGGAATTAAAGACCTGTGCCACCACTGCCCAGCTAAAATTTTTCTTAATGTATAAATATTATTTCAAAATTTGTAAGATCAATATGTAAATGTATTCAAACTTCTTGTCATGATATTAATGGTCATATAGAGTACTAACTGATTCTAGAATAGGTTTCATTTAGCTTCCTGTGCATGATTTCAGGTTTGAGTCTGAATCAGGTAACTAGGAATTAAATTTGTGTACCCTGGATGTATTTAATAGATTGTGGTTCTTTAATCTCTCTGAGATCTACTGCTTATGATATTTAAAATGTTTAAGTTTTCTCAAGTGAACTGTCACCATTACTAACAGCAACCTTTGGAGTCTCCGAAAGGATGATGAAGCCCCACAACAATGATTCCACTTGGATCGTGGTAAAGCCATTATGTCGACAAACACCACCCAAAGGTCTACCTTGGACTAAAAACCACTCGGCATTTTCAATGTCAGCTCCAGGGGATCTTGTGTCCTCTTTGGCTTCTTTGGCATCCGTACTCACATTGCACACATTCACACACACAGCACATGCAGAAGATAAATCCTCAAAGGAATTCAAAATTAGAGATGAAAAAGGGAGACCTTTCAACAGAGATCAATGAAATCTAGAGGTTTTTTCAAAAACACTTTTACATCTTTTTATTCTAATTGAAAATATATAAAAGAAATATATAAATTTCTAGACACATGACTGACCAAACTTAAATTAAGAGGATATAAACTAAATAGACCTATAATGAAAAATGAGCTTGAGGGCTGGAGAGATGGCTCAGAGGTTAAGAGCATTGCCTGCACTTCCAAAGGTCCTGAGTTCAATTCCCAGCAACCACATGGTGGCTCACAACCATCGGTAATGAGGTTTGGTGCCCTCTTTTGGCCTTCAGGCATACACGCAGAAAGAATATAATAAATAAATAAATATTTAAAAAAAGAAAAATGAGCTTGAGGCAATAATACAGTATCTCCCAACCAAGGATTCCTGTGCGACCCTTAAAGAACCAACAGTGTCTCTCAAACTATTCCATAAAATAAAAAGGGAAGGTGTGCTACCAACTCAGTCTAAAAATCCAGTATTAGCCTCGTAATAACTGTTCATTTCCCTGCAGCCACATAGTTGCTCACACTATCTGATGGGATCTGATGCCCTCTTCTGACATAAAGTCCAAAGAACACTCAAATACATAAATAAATATTTTTTTAAAAATTACATAATGGGCTGGTTAGATGGCTCAGCAGTTAAGGACACTTGTCACCAATGGTGATGACCTGAGTTCAATCCCTGGGACCCACATGGTGGAACAAGAACCAACTCCCATAGGCTGTCTTCTGACCTCCAAAACATGCACCATGGCATGCCTCAACCCACACGAATAAATAAAACCTAAAGTACTGCACCCCTATTTTAAAAATAGATTTCAGAGGATATTATATACATTTGAAAGCCTTTTATTCTTTTTTAAAAGATTTATTTATTATGCATACAGTGTTCTGCCTGCTTGTATGCCTGCAGGCCAGAAGAAGGTACCAGATCTCATTACAGATGGTTGTGAGCCACCATGTGGTTGCTGAAAATTGAACTCAGGACCTTTGGAAGAGCAGTCACTGCTCTTAACCTCTGAGCCATCTCTCCAGCCCCCAAAAGCCTTTTATTCTTATGTGAATAAAGTGTCCGTCTTTTCTTGCCGGGGGTGGGGGGTGAGGAGAAAATAAGCTGATATTTCTTGCATTTCAAGGACTCTTCAACGGCATCTTTAACACGCGACAGTTTATGTGGTTTCCTCTCTTGCTTTCACAGATGCCTAAAAATGCTCCTAGTTTGTCATCAACCTCAGCACAAAGCTCCTCCACCGACTGAACACACCTTGGCTCGACACAACTGCATTCAGGCATGCACGTGCCTAAGGCCTTGGCAGCTCTGTGTAATTCCCATGCTGAGCCACCTTGGAGGAGTGCTGCTGGAACGGGGTGAGGTCAAAGAATCTCAAGCTAAGTCCAAAAGATTTTAATTGTATTTTTTTATTATAAGGGGCAAACTCACGGAACAGGAACGAGAAGTCCAACCTCTGGTGTGTAATGCGGGAATGAGAGAGAGAGAGTGAGCGAGCAGTGGGTTATGGGTGAACACACATATCTCTACGTCCTGCTCAGCAGAGCATGAGGGCATCAGGCTGTGTTCAACATTTCTAACTACTGGGTATATTTTTTAAATAAATGAGCAAAATAAGGCCACCTTTTCCGGGAATAAGTTAAAAAAATACAATTCACTAACCATCCTTAGACTAGACCACAAGTTCCATCTACCTCAGTTATGTATTTTTTCCACCTTTTCCTGGGCACCCGGCCAACTGGAATGAATGCTGTATTTTGCAGTTAGGGAAGGCACTGACTAGTTTTTTGCTAATGGTATTTACACAGAACTGCTTGGTACAATTGGAAACTATCCTTAAACAAAGGGTTACAACCCCACTGCCCTGGTTCTCGCTGGCCAGAATGTTTGCTGTGAGGGCATTGACTGGAGCCAAAAGCTGAGGTTAGTTAAGCAACAAAGTGCCGTTAAATATCACCAGAATTCCTTAAAGAGGAAAACCCCTCTCATTTTTACAGGTACTAATATTGGGGGTTTAGTTTCATGTTAGTGAGCCCAATCTTAACTAATACACATTTCAGTGGTTGGCACATTACTCCTTTATTAGAAATTGTAAATGAGAAATTATTTCAACACCTGAAGACCAAACTACAACAGCAGATTCCATAGGCTCAAGATTTTGAGACATTCTGGCAAGAGTCCTATGTAGAGTATACCCTTTCCGTGGCATGGCAACATCATTTTTCCTTAAAAAGGTAACTGGACAGACATCATTTCCACCATCTCCTATATAAACGATCCGTGCATATCTCACTCCCTTCTCTAACTGTTTATCTATAAATTCTACCAAAACTGCATTTTTGCAAAGGTTCTTTGGACACCTATTGCAAGAATGAGCATGGCAATTTTTCACTGTGAGACGACCACTGTTATCAAAAGCTGCTGGATTAGTAAACACGTTATCAAAGACATCATGAAAATCAGCAGCTTCTAAAACCCAATCTATGAAGACTGAGTTTGAATCTGAAATAATGATGCAATCAAATTTATTCTTATTCATCCTTAGAAAGCTGAAAAGCTCCACCATCCCTGAAGTGAAAGGCATGGATATCACTGTTCTTCTCATTTCATCCTCTTTCACCCCTTCATCTCCCAGATACTTAAAGACTCTGCCCATAAATTCTGTCCAGAACCCCTTCTGGTAAGAATCTTGCAGTTCCATGGGAAGCTTTTTGTCTGGAGCACACTGTACAATCCGGGTGTCACTATTGTCATCTATGATTGTATTGTCGAAGTCAAACACCAGCAAAACTTTCATGGTTCCAGTAAGAGATTTGGGTTACCCTGCAGAAGAAGAAATATTATCCCTAACCATACTGTGTTTACGTATCCATCACACTTACTTAGGATCAGAAGTAAACGTTAACCTGCTAAGAGCTAGGGGTGGTAGTACACGCTGTCATCTTGGCACTTATGAGGCTGTTTTAGGACTACCATTTATTTTCCTAAGATAAGTGCCACACTTTATTAGCTTATAATATTTGTAATAATCCTCATATCAAGTAACAGGTCATAATATGTTATGAATATTCTATATACTAACAAAAATTCTGAACAAATTTAAGTTCATGTAACTTTATAAAATATAATTTTTTAAAAATATTTATTTATTTATACAATGTTTTGTCTGTATGCCTGCAGGCCAGAAGAGGGCGAAAGACCTCATTACAGATGGTTGTGAGCCACCATGTGGTTGCTGGGAATTGAACTCAGGACCTTTGGAAGAGCAGGCAATGCTCTTAACCACTGAGCCATCTCTCCAGCCCATAAAATATAATTTTTAAATGGCTTTCAGGTTGAACTCAATGTCAGAGTTTGACTAAATGATTGGTTAATGCTACACCTGAAATATGTAAGTCAACTCAATTCTCCAAAATTAGTTTGACTTCTGTTAAAGGTTTTGATACATTTATTTGCATTTTCTCTAAATCATTTAGTCTTGAGGTACCAAATGTTAACTTGAGTAAACACACCACATATGACAGGACAGATGTTTTTGTTTTCATTAGAATGGAAATGATTAACTTATAAATCTCCAAAAGAAATGGAAATACTAAGTTTCATAATAACAGTTATTATGGGTGAAAACTATCACACAAAAAAATAGTAACCATAGAGAATTCCAAGAAAACGATAAAATTGGTACATGTAAACAAAAAAGAGACGAAATATTTTTGAAAGATTACTCAAACATCTCATCTAATTTTAATACCCTACTACATACAATTGCTGTCACTCTCATCTTAAAGCTCTATAAAGCAATTATTAAAGAAGTGGAATGTGGGCTCTGGTCAGTGTGGCTCCAGTTTTACGTTTTTGAGTACAGTATTCTAGGTCTGGTTGGTGGCAACGCCGTTAGCCTTGGCAGACAGAGGCAGGAGTGTCTTTGTAGGCCTGGTTCACATAGCCAGTTTCAGGACCCCCAAAACACAAAACCAAACACAATTAACTAAATACAACAGTTTAATGCCTAATAAATAAGATATTAAAGCTATTTATTAATTTATTTCTTTGAGACAGGGTCTCACCATGTAGCCTTGACTTGCCGAGAATTCTCTATGTAGAAGTCTGCTTGGAACTAATAGCAATTCACCTGCCTCTTAAGTACTGGGATTAAGCATGTGCCACCATATCTATTCATTGCTTTAAAATAAACACCAAGTAGGTAATCTGTGCTTGTTTTGTGTACCCCTGGCTGTCTTGGTAGAGGAGGTTGGCCTTGAGCTCCACCTGCCTCCGCCTCCAGAGCGCTGGGTACCACCCCTGCTCTCTTAACTCTTAGAAGAGCACAAGAGTGAAATAAACACACATTCAAGGTTCATCTAAGAGTATTTGTTCTCAATTTTAGAATTTCCCATCTTTTAAGTATATTTTTTATTAAAATGACTTACCTAAGATGGCACTTGCAGTCCAATTAATCTTATTTCAGCACAGAGCTTAGGTCATTAACATCTTTAATTTGCCAGCTGCCTTCACACATTACTCCATTTCTGTATGCAGATAAATTGCTCTGATGTACAGCGAAGGAATGGACACTTCTTAACTCCTAGAATTAATAAAGTGTTTTAAAAGCTTAAATTTTACACTTCCTAATTGACTCCCTTTTCCTCATATCAAAAAAACATGTACTGGCAATGAAAAAACAAAATTTGATCATACACATAAATTTGAAATAAATACAAAAAAGAGACTATCATAAGGAAATATCTGATCTAGTTACTAAAATCACAAGTGTTAAGTCAATTGAATTTCATTTCAGGTTTTCTTGTTAAAAGAGAAACAGATACTTTATTATCAATAAATATAGAGATACTAGTAACATATTGAAAATAAAAACCTACAAAAATTAGGGAGGTGCACAGACTGACTTTTAACGATGTGAATTTACGCGGAAACTCTTTTATTAATATCTGAAACACAGACCAGGCATAGTTGCTCATACCAGTAATCCCACTGTTCAGGAGCTGGAGCAGGTATTAAGTTGCATGCTAGAGCCCAGTTTAAGTGACAATGTGAAGAGGCCAGCGAGATGACGCAGGTGGTGAAACACTTGCTGACAAGCCTGACAAGCCTGACAAGCCAAGTATGACCCCTGCAAGCCACTCTTGAAGGAGACAAACCCACAGTGGGCAGAGAGGATTCCTAACGGTTGTCCTCTGACCACAGTACTGCTGTGTTCACTTGGCACACGCACATAAAGTTTTGTTGAAAAAAAAACCACCAAAACTGGGCAGTGTGATGCACACCTTTAATCCCAGCACTCAGGAGGCAGAGACTGGCAATCTCTGTGAGTTCAAGGCCAGCCGGGTCTACAAAACAAGTTCCAGGATAGCCAGGGTTGCTATATAAAGGAACCCTGTTTCAAAAAAAACAAAACCAAACCAAACAAACTAACCACCCTACTCTCGGGACTGGACATATCACTGGTTAGAGTGTATACTGCTCTGGCAGAGGACCCAAATTCAGCTCTCAGGACCCCTGTCTGGTGGTGCAACTTTAATTCTAGGGACTTTAACTGAACTCACGGTATCCACACTAACTAAATAAATACAAACAAATAAATAAGGGGCTGGAGAGGAGGCTCAGCTGTGAAGGCCCAAATCTGAGTGGCTAACCATCGCCTGGAACTCCAGCTCCAGAGGGGTCTGACAGCTCTGGCCTCTTCAGGCACCCTCACTCATACACACATCCAAACACACACATAATTAACTATAGTAAATACAGCTCATGTGAGAATGGCAGGGTCTTCACAAGTGGTTCCATGGTTAGTTTTCCTTATGACCTTGTGTTAAAAATGTCTACATATTAAACTCTGCTTCCAATTAGGATACAAATGCTACCTTCTTTCAATTTACCACAACAAAACTCTGGGCAATGGAGGCGGAAACCGAGTAACCAACAGTACTTGTACGTAAAGACTGTAGGCTGGAGGAGCAACTAAGAGTTTAAAGTCAGATATCAGACCTTTTCAAATTATAAAATTACTGACACTTTATGTAGTCCAGCAACTGCAACTAATTTAGTTAAAGTAATTAGGGTTTTCATAGACAGACACAGCCTATACTGCTTCTGTCTTCTCTGTAATGTACTCCATGCCCCACAGCTTCAAGGATGCCCCGACAGGGAACAACATTAGAAGGTATGCATGCTGTCACCCATCCTGTCCTATAACGCAACACACATCACATTCACGTGACTTCTTGCCAACTCTGCATCACCCTATGGGGACAGGGGCTCAGAAAAATTAAGGCACAAATTTGCTGAGGTTGCTGCTACCGCTGTAATTCATTGATCCCTCACTAGGCGTCGCGGGTCTCATGCACAACGATGCAAGCTGCTGCTTGCCTGTAACACAGTAAAAGCCCCACCTTTGGAATTCTCGTCACGCTTTAAGCTAAGCTTCCAAATCACTCGTCTGCACACAAAGTTCTAGCACTCCTTTCATACTTACCAGCATTATTACAGTGGAATATCTGACAGAAAACCTGAAGCGAGACAGCATAACTGTGTGTTAGAACTTTCATTATTGAACATCTTGTTTTCACTGTGAGGGGCAGCAAATGTGGCCTGATAGTCCAACTACTTAGGAATGAAATCATTTGTACATCGGTGGGCCAGAACAGCCTCGTTAGAGATCCATTGCCAGCCTACTTGAACTCATTTTGGTGTCATGAGCGACTGGTTCCCTCCCAGGCACACTAATTATAATTTACCAAGCAGTTTAATATCTATTGGTCTTAACGTGAATGTCCTGGGGACAATATTCACACTTTAATAGTCCTACGTAATAGCAATAGAGAGGGTCTCATCTAGTCCTGGCCAGGCCGTACAAACCAAATAATTAAAAAAAAAATAATTTATGTCCCTTAATCCCCGGGGGTTCTGTGGTCAAGCGGGTTCTGTCCTTCACCTCAGCCCGCGAGGAGCAGTGCGGGAGCTCGCACCGAGCCTTGGCCTCGACTCGCACACCGGCCGTCCCCCCCACTAGCACAGCGGGTGCGGAAGAGGACACCGGCCTGGCGGAACCGAGGGCTCCTCACTGACCCAGGCCCGGGTCGCAGCCGGCAGCCAACATCCGTTCCAGCATCCGCCGGTTGGTCCTCGAGCCAGACGGAAGCGCGCGGTCGCGAGCGCCGCTCCAGCCCCGCGGCTCTGCACCGCGCAGGCGCCGCGCCTGACCCGCAGCTTTGCACCGCGCATGTGCACTTCCCGCGCTTCACCCCCCCCCTCTCCCCCGCACGGCCGCGGACGAGGCGCCTTCCTGGTTCCGCGATGGCGACAACGTCACTTCCGGCGTGGTTGCTATACAACCAAACGGTTTGGCAACAGTTCCTCTGCTGAAGTTGGCGTGGCGACAGTTTCCTCACCCGGTCTGCCCTCGCGGAGCTCAGCTAGTTAGAGATGCAGGTGCGCTTTGGGCGGCGCTCCGGACGGACGAAGGGGAGCACAAGTGAGCTGCCGTGGGCCCTTCCGGAGCTGGGATTGTTCCTCGAACAATCTAGGGTAACAAGTGAGGGCTTCGGTTGCCTTTTGAAATGGGCTTTGCCATGTCGAAAGCATTTCCAACAAGTATCCTTGGAAGTTAGTCAGGTTTGGCCTTCGGATGAATGAGTGGAATGAGGACTGAGGCGTGCGTAGTAGAAAATTCACAGGAATGGGGGTAGAAAAAGCAGAAAGTTAGTCGCCCTCCCAGCCCCCAAACTGCCCTGCACGTCCGATACAAGAGTCTGGGGGTTCTTAAGCTTTGTTATTCGTTGAGTAAATTTTGGAATGCCGTTTGGAAATGTTATTGGCTTATTAAGTCGCCATTCTGTTCCAGACCTGCAGAGTAGCTCAAGGAATTAACTCTTTCCACTCTAAAGTTAAAACCCACCCCAAGTCAAATGCTTTGGTAGTGTAAAAAATATGGTACGTAAAGTAAGGTGACATAAGATTTGATTTTGTCATACATGTGGGAAAGTAGGATTCTTTAAAAAAAAAATCTTTTATCAAGTCCAACCACAACAGTTTAATTGTTATCATGGTAACTGTTATGGTAGATTCCTGGAAATTTGAACCTTCTTCATGTTTTGCCTGAGCTCAGTTGCAGAGCGCCGCCCCCACTCCAGAGGACCTGAGTGACTGACTACCTGTTCAGTGAGAACATTACATTCTTACCCAAGTTTACACATGAAGGAAATCACCAAAGATTCCATCAATTTCCTCTGATTTCATAAAGCCTTGTGTTTTTCCCCTCAGCCATTCTTAAGTCACACATGTGAGGCAGTTTCCAGACACCACTCCACTACAGACATATCTGAGAAAAAAAGCACGTGAACTTTTCCCGGACAAACGTTTAACCTACTGTTTAATGCGACAGGAATGAAGAACTCTGAAGAAGAAGAAATTCCCTATCCACCTCTCCTGCCTAGCAAGGTAGATCTCCAGCAGGTCACCATAATCCCACATGCCGAGTGGGAAAGGATTCGGGATAGCCTCAGCAGGCTGACGAGAGAAGCGGCGGCCCTTCGTGCAGAAAGAACAGCAAAGAAGAAGATGCACGTCCAATCCCAGGAACTGGTAAAACACTGGACCAACACATATGCAGTAAGTATCAGCCCCCTAGAAGACGCATGCTTTGAACACTACCTGTGGCTTCTTAGTAGTATCTTGTACCTTTTTTGAATCATTTGATGTTCAAACTTCATAAATACAATGGCACACGGTTTCAAGATTTTTAAGTAACATACTGTAAATGACACAATTAAGGTAAACGTTTTGTTAAAATTTGGTACATTTATGCCTCTAAAACCATCATTACAGGGGGCTGGAGAGATGGCTCAGTGGTTAAGAGCATTGCTTGCTCTTCCAAAGGTTCTGAGTTCAATTCCCAGCAACCACATGGTGGCTCACAACCATCTGTAAAGAGGTCTGGCGCCCTCTTCTGGCCTTCAGGCATACAGACAGAATATTGTATACATAATAAATAAATATTAAAAAAAAATAAATAAAACCATCATTACAGTTAGCATAATGAACATATTCATTGCCTAAAAGTTTTCACTGTTTAAATCCTTGTCACTCCTCATAAATTATAGGTCACACTCATCTACTATTTATTATTAGAGATTTTACTCCACAGAATCTGAGACTTCGTTATGCTGTTAAATATACTCTTTGTACTGCTGAGTAGTAGTCTAGTGTTTGATACAGTAAGTTTATTTATCTGGTCACTTGATGGCATGGAACCAACCAAATGTTGACATCTGGATGTCTCCATCTTTTGACTGTTATAGTCGCTGTGAACATTCATACAAGTCTATTTATGGACATATGCTCCAACTTCTCTTGAGTAAATATCTTGATATAGATATCTATATGAGAAATCATATGATCACTGTATATGCAACTTTGTAGCTTTCTTTTGTTTTGCTTTGGTTTTCAAGACATGTAGCTCTGGCTATTATGGAACTTGCTGTATAGACCAGGCTGGCCTTGAACTCACAGAGATCCACCTGCTTCTGCCTTCCAAGGGCTGGGATTAAAGGCATGCACCACCACCGCCCAGCTTTGTTTGTGTAACTTTGTGAGGGGGATATAGGGTGCCTGGAGAGATGGCTCAGCAGTAAAGAGTGCGTACAGCTCTTTCAGAGGACTTGTGTTCAGTTTTCAGGACTAACCTTGAGCCACTCACAATCACCTGTAACACGAACTCCAGGGGATCTTTGACTATGCAGTGAGCTTAAGGCTAGCCTGGACTCTGTGATACCATCTCAAAGAATATATATTTGAAAATATTTCCTTTCAGTATATATCTTGAATTATCATTTACTTACCTTGTCTTTTAAAAGACAGAAGATTCTTTTGCTTTTTGAGGGTTTTTTTTTATACTGTCCAGGTTGACCTCAAATATTCTTCTGCCTGGCTTCTGTCTCCAGAGTAGTCGGAGTTATAATCATGCACCACCATGATTGACTAACAGAAAAGTTTTTAATCTTAGTGAAGTCTTAGGATTGGAGAGATTCATTATAGATCCCATTAATGGTTTTGGATTTCAAATCATGTAAATGGCTGTCCACCTAAAAAATTAAATTAAAAATTAAATTAGGGGTAGAGAGATGGCTAAATAGTGGTTTGAGTCCCCCCACACACAGTGGTTCACAGTGTTTTGTAACTATAGTCCCAAAGCATCTAGCCATCTCTTCTGATCTCCTCATGTACCAGGCAAGCATGTGATGCACAGATGTACATTCAGACAAAACACCCATGTACACAAAACAAAGAAATCAATCCAAAGTGTAAATTCATATTACTAATGAATTATGCCAACACAAAAATTCATAATGAAATTCAAGTGATCTTATATCGATAATAACTTTTTGGTCAATTAAACTGATACATAAAAGCAAAATACTGCTTTTGGTTTAGAGTAACCACAAAGGCTGGGTTTGATCTCCAACACTATTTTAAAAAAGAGAAAGAGAGCCGGGTGGTGATGGCGCACGCCTTTAATCCCAGCACTCGGGAGGCAGAGGCAGGCGGATCTCCGTGAGTTCGAGACCAGCCTGGTCTACAAGAGCTAGTTCCAGGACAGGCTCCAAAAACCACAGAGAAACCCTGTCTCAAAAAAAAAAAAAAGAGAGAGAGAGAGAGAGAGCGAGCCAGGAGATGGTGGGGCACACCTTTAATCCCAGCATTGGGAGGCAGAGGCAGGCAGATCTCTGTGAGTTAGAGGCCAGCCTGGTTGGTCTACAAGAGCTAGTTCCAGGACAGGCACCAAAGCTGCAGAGAGACCCTGTCTTGAAAAAACAAAAACAAAACAAGAGAGAGAGAGAGAGAGAGAGAGAGAGAGAGAGATTGATTATTTTGTCTTTTCACAGGGAATGAAAGAACAGAAACTTAAAGCCAAGCAAAAACGTGACGAAGAGATTGAGGCTGAAAGACAAATTCTTGATTTGGAGGAAGAAATATACAAACAAGGAGAACGGAAGAAGGCCATTGAAAACGCAAAGCAGTATCAGTTTTACCAGACAGAAAGAGTGAAAAGCTTTCATGTACTGTCCAGCTTCTCTCCTATTTATAAATATGTATATTTAGCATGCGTAGTTAACAGTTTTCTCTAATTACTTATATACAATTTTTTTAAAATAGTGCAATTTTTTTGTAGTCAGGACTTCTTCTCAGTAGAGTTATGAAGGAGCGCGATGCCCAAATTCAGTTTAAAAAGAATTCAGTCAAATCAGACAAGAAATGGGAGGAACAGATGAGACTCAACATGGAAAAAGCTATTAAAGAAGAGCAAGAGAAAGAAGAAAAACAACGCAGAGAAAGATGTGCCCTTGCTGAAGACCATCTGAAGCAGTATGTATACGTGAGCTTTTATGTGTCTTTCTCATAATGGGTATAGCTTTTCCCCTGATTTTGAAATTAATTTGTGCTGAAATACATGGTAGAAAAAAATACAAAGAAAAAGATTAAAACTAGTGACTAGAGTCAAGTATGGTGATAAATCCTGTAACCATAGCAGTTAGGAGGCTGCAGCAGAAGAATCAAGAATTGGAAGCCAGTCTGGTTTATGTAAGAAAGACCATTGAGATGCCCAGTGGGTAAAAGCATCTGCCACACAAGCCTGACATGTGAGTTCAGTCCCAGGAAGGAAAGAACTAACTCCACAAAGTTCTCTGACCTTCACAAGTGTACAACTCCACATACATCATGCAGGCACACACTCTTATTTACATGTACCCACTACATTTCTCTTAAAAAGACAAAATGAGAGACTGGAGTGATGACTCAGTGGTCAAGAGCACTAACCACTCTACCAGAGGTCCTGGGTTTGAGTTCCAGCACCCACATGTTGGCGCACAACCATCCAATTCCAGGCAATTTGATACCCTTTTCTGGCCTTTTCAAACACTACATAGATGTAGTGCACAGACATACATGAAGACAAAATACATACATACAAATCAAATTAAATTTAAAAAAAAGACAAAAAAACAGGGCAGTGGTGGCATACACCTTTGATCCCAGCACAGATAGGCAGCGATAGATGGATCTCAGTGAGTTCAAGGTCAGCCTGGTCTACAGAGTGATTTCCAGGACAGGCAGAACTGTTACACAGAAGCCCTGTCTCAAAAAAAGACAGAAAATAAAGAGAGCTCAGTGGTAGAGTGCTTGCCCAGCATGCATGAGGTCCTAGGTTCAATTCTCAG